CCCCACCTGCCTAGCCCTTACCCGGCATGAGCAGAGCTTCAGCCAGCTTTGGCTGGATTGGGGTCACTTGGTGGGGACACCTAAAACAAGTGGGTGTTGCTGTTGTCCTGAGGACAGGCACTCTCTCGAGCCATGCTGCTCAGGGTCCACCCACTATATTTTTAGGTCTCCCATTACACATGATTTCTGCAGGGCTATCTCAGCTGTACGCACCAGGAAAGAAGAGATCTCCAACTAGAGAGAAGCTGAAATCCCTAAACAATAGCTGAGCCCTAATCGCTAGAAGCACTGTTGATATTTGCCTGTTGTCCTGCCAGCTACGTGGCAGGACCAGTCTTCAGCCCTACCCTAAAGCAGCTCTTAGACACCTTGAGAAAGGCAACAAGGGACACAGAGGAGATTTTTCTAACACAAGGGAACTTGCTAAGGTAGCGTAGCCACCAGCAATTATGCTTCGTGATTACTTTTTAGCAGAAGAAAACCAAACTGCAGAGATTTTCTAATCCGTGGTCTCACTGAAATGGCAGTGTCCCAAGAAAAGCAGTTTGCAAAGCCCCTGCAAAGCCCAGGAGGCAGCAGCTCTGTCCCACCCGCTGTCCCCAGCCCCTCTCCCCTGCGTCTGGAGGCCGAGGACAAAGCCTAATGGCTTTTCTGCTGGCCCAATAGTCTCACTTTGCTGCACTGCCTTGCGCTGCCCTTCCTTATCGACCTGCAGATCAGCACTTTGCCACTGCAGTCCCATCAGAGCTGGCACGCTCCACTGGCTGCCTGTGTCGTGAGAGCCCATTAAAGGACCAGCTTGTCTCCAGGCTCCTTTGCAGGGCCAGGGTAATGCTGGAAAGGCTGACAGGGCTATGCCAGCACAGGTGCCTGCAGTGATGCTGGCAAAGCGCCTCCTACGGTGGGTTAGACCAAGTCCTTTGCATCCATCTTACACGGTACCTAACTGCACGGTAGGATGCGTGGGGTAGATTTCACCATGCCCCAGTCACAAATATCAAGGTGCTTAAAAGCCCTGTTGGAAACTTCACACTGGTGTGATCCAGCACGGTGCTCGCTGGGGGCAACACTTGCCTGCACCACCACTGAATTTGGCCCACCATGTCCAGCACCCATAAGAGCAGCAAAGATTCCCCCAAAAAATCAATGAGATGATGGTGGGAGAAGAGGGGAAGGTACATTTGCTCTTCTGCTCTGGAGACATGGGACTAGAGCTGGCAGTGGTTAGGACTCTTGGGAAGGCTCTGGGTGAGTGTGGAACAGCACTGGTCCTAGCTGGGTCTTTCCCAGTTTCTCACTTTTATAAGCACTAAAAATATTTGAGAGATGTTAAAACAAAATCTAAAGCACACAGAAATCCCTCCCTCTTGCCTAGAGGCCTCGGGGCAGCTTCACCCTGGAGAGGAGGGAACGGGAGCTCCTTGGGTCACTCTGAATTGTCTCGGCAGATCTTATTGCAGCCAAGGCACTGTGCTGGCTCGGGGAGGTGACCACAAAGCTGAAGACCCTGGGGATCTGGAGGTGCCCAGGGGAGGGCAGAGCTGGAAGCACTATCTCTACTGTCCACAGCATTGCAGGCACTGGCCTGACAGTCCCTGCCTGCTTACCCTTGCCTTTCCCTCCTTTATCTTCTGGCAGCTCCAAAGATTCACCAGTGAGGAGAATCTGGTAAAACCAGGCAACGCCAGAACTTCTTCAGGGGAGGGCTGTGAGGAATTGGCAATGGACAGCGATCCTTTCTCCTCACTGGATTTACCCTGGAGCTAATGCTGGCTTGCCTAACTCACTGGTGAGCAGAAGGGAAGCAGAACAAATTTTTTTTTATTAAGACAGAAACAAAATAGTTGCCTCCCTAGTAGGCACCAGTGACTTCCCATGTCATGCTATACTCAGGCCAAAGCAATCTCCAAGGACTTTTAACACACAAGAAGCACAGCCAACCCTCTCAGCTGCCCCCTTGTCTTCCTGCAGATTCCTCGGACTGCCTGGAGATCCACCAAGGAGCCTTTTGCCCAGCTTGACTTGCTTTCCAGGATTAGTGGGCAAAGCAGCAGCAGTCACTGGCAGTAGCCTTTGGACACATGGGGTGGAGAGGGCACTGGAGGATGACAATCTGGGGAGGCTCAGAAGCCTTCATGCAGCACAAGTGAGTCTCTGGGCATTGCCCAGCATCAGAGGTGACTCGTTGCCTATGCAGGTCCTTGAGGAGTGTCCTGAAAGCAAAGAGTCTGAGTCAATCCAAAACAAAAGCTTTTTTTGGCTGGCTCAGCAGAATGGCAAACTTTCCACTGGGGCGGGACAGAGTGGTGGTATAGTGGGAGATCAAACAGTTCATTTAGGTCTGAGTTTTCTCAGCCCTTTTTTTCAGCCCTCACCATTATCTCTCAGAGAGAAATGTAGGAAAAAGGTCAAGCAAGACTTTTTAAAGTTAAAACCCCCCATATCTGGATCAAAGTGTCAACCAAATGCAAGCCCAATTTACAAGTGATTTCTCTTGTGCCCTCTCCTTCCTTCCAAGAAACTGCATTTATCAGCAAGTAAATGATTGTCCAGAAAGAACCCAAGGGCTCTGTCTGAGAGAGAAGTCAGTGTCCTTGGGGAGCAGGCAGAGAGGGCGAACATCTCTGCAAGCAGCGCAAGCGCAGGACGGTGTGAGAAGCAGAGGCATGAGCAACTCTGGCTGTCATGCTGGGAAACACACAGGTCACCAGGTCCCAGCCAACATCTCTGATGTCTTTCCCAAGAGCTGGATGGGCTTCAAGAGCAAATACACTGCAGCGGGCAGGAAAGGAGCAGGGGCTTGAGCAGCTGATGGCAGTTCCTATGATGGGAGCTGCCAGGCTTTGCTGGGGAACTCCCCTGTGCCCTGAGTTTGTTTCTGGTCCCGGGTGGACTGTGATAAGGCAGGTTTTGGTCACACTCTGCTAAGTGTCCTCAGCGGGCTGCTGGGACGGACGCCAGTGGCTGGGCAATGGTAGTGGGAGCATGGTGGGGCTGGGTCTCCTTCAGGGCTCTTACACAAGAGTGATATATTGACAAGAAGCACAAGACGTCTCACAGGACCAAGCGTAACCCCCACCCAGGAGGAGGGACCCATGGCTTGCCAGGGAGCTCACATCCCCAAAACCACAGGATGCCTGCCACCCTTTCAACCAGAGAGACCTGGTGTCCTTCCCTTGCTCTTGGTGCCAGGTTACTCCTGCGCACCCAAGGGGATCAGCTCCTCGTTCCAGCTCATTAAACTCACTTGCATTCACAGTCACTAGCAAAGCTGAATGGGTGGCTTATTACCCGCTTGTCTTTGTTGCTTTATAAATACAACTGGCTGCAGGTGACACTGGTTTAGGCTGGGGCATTCAGGCTCCAGAGAAGGGTGGCGTGGGTATCTGACGGCTCTGGTCTGCGAGGCTTCCTCCTCCCTGTTACCCGGTGTGATCCGTCCACGCTTGGACCTCTCCTTGCCTGCTGCCACCCACGGGGTAAGATCTGCTCCAAGGCCTGCAGCGAGACGATGCCCAGAGGCAAGGTGGTTGATGACAACCGAGGGTCTTCATCCTCCACCTCCCCAGACGTCAGCCCCTGTCCAGGTGTCCCGTCCCTACACCTTTTCACCCACACGGGCCCTGGGTTGTCCTTGCCGTCCGAGGAGGAGGCTCGGGGAGGAGGATAAGCCCTGGGGCTCCCCCGGGGCTGCAGGATCTTCCGGGCACCCGGTGGAGCTCCTGCTGTCCTGCCCACGGCCGGCCGGGGAGGGGGCTGCGGGGGGGCCGGTTCGCAAGCAGGCGTTGGCCTCTAG